GTGTCATTGGGGATGGGCTTTTCAGAGTAACCCCATTTGCTGTTCTCTCTCTGCTTCCTTTATGCAAATGCAGTATGATCAGCCAGTTTCCTGCTCCTGTTCATGGCTTCCTTTCTGTTACCACATCACCCCATTGTGATGAACTCTCTCCATCTGGAACTGTGACCTGAAATAAATTCTGTCTCCCTTTTGTTGTTTTTGTTAGGGTGTTTTATCACAGCAACAGAAATTATCTAGGACAGGCCCCATCAGGTTGACAACTGAGATTAACCATCACTGCATCACCTGTTGTTTTGTTTTCTGTTCTGTGTGGTTTTCCTGTGTGTCTACACTTGTCCTCCTGTTATACCCATTAGTATCACGTAAGTACACAGTGACCACTTTAGTAAAATGCATTGTATTTTTCTCAAGAGGAGTAGGATGTAATTATTTGGGATAGTGCAAATGTCCAATTTAATTAAATGAGGAAATGTGCAGATCAGGGTGCATACTGTGGGGATCTTCTTGCAGTGGTTAAAAAATTAGCAAAGGATAAAAAAAAAATTCTGGCATTAATACAAATGCAGACCTAAGAAAGTCATGTAATTTTCAGGAAGGGGATATAACATGTTTTCTATTGTCTTAGTTAGGGTTTCTCTTGCTATGAAGAGATACCATTACGTTGGCAACTCTTATAAAAGAAAACAATTTCAGAGGTTTAGTCTATTATCATGGTGAGAAGCATGGCAACATGCATGCAGACATGGTCCTGGAGAAGGAGCTGAGAATTCTGCATCTTGACCCACAGGTAGCAAAAGGTGAACAATGTACTGTACTTGGCATAGCTTGAGCATTTGAGACCTCAATACCTGCCTCTACAGTGACACATTTTCTCCAACAAGGTTACACCTCCTAATAGTACCATTCCCTATGGGCCAAGCATTCAGACATGAGTCTAAGGGGCCACCATACCTATAAACCCAGGACTTTGAACAACATTATGAATTGGGAGCTATTAGTATTATCTCAAGTTCATTTCCTTTGATACATTATGGCACAGATGTAAATGGGTGTGCTGTTTTCACATTAGTTGATCTTTCTCTGGACAGGATGCTGCTCCTGTATACTTTATTATTAAGGGTCTTGGAAACCAATTAAAGCACCCTCGGATCTTGTAAGCAGCCTGTAAACCTAAGGCTGTTTTTGATTAGAAAAAAAGTAAAATAAACATTAGTGACTTTCACACACACACACACACACACACACACAAACCATTACACAGTGAGAACTTTCTAGCTTGTGCTATGAAGTCTCAGGGATGTAAAAGTACTTATTGCTAACTTTTGAGGTCTGTGCACTACAAAAAAATATGAATTGAAACAGCTAGATTTAATTCCCTTTCCAAAAGATTTTTTTTTTTAATTAGGGTTAAGTTTTGACTTATAGAAAGTTGCAGAGGTCTCCTGTTCTCTGCGATAGTACCATCTTATACAGCTGTTACTTGCTTGCCAGTAAGAAGTTAATGTTGGTCTGTGAGCTGACTCCAGACTTCATTTAGAGGTTACTGCTCTTCTATTACTATTCTGTTTTGGTTCCAGGATTCCACCCAGCATATCGTGTTGCTGCTCGTCAGTTCTCCTTAGTCTCCTGTGGTTTGTGACAGTTTCTCAGCCCTTGTTTGATCTCCCAGCATCCATCTCTTGGTTAAGGCAATGTGTGCCCAGTTCTATGGGAGCCAGTTAAGTCCTGGTTTTCATTTCCTTCCGAACTCTCCCCAACCATTTACCCTTTTATGCCTCTGTCTTGTACCTCCCAAATGCGGCATCATGGGTTCTTTCTCAGCTTCTCCTCCCCACAAAGCAAAGTTTTTTTTTTGTTTGTTTGTTTTAAACTTTGTGTTTTATTTATTATTATTGTGTATATTTACAAGTGTGTATATGCAAGTACATATGTGTATGTAGCATGTGTGGAGAACAGAGAACACCTCTGTGGAGTCCATTCTCTTCTTCCACCATGTGAGTCCCCAGGAATTAAACTGAGGTTGTTAGGCTTAGCAGCAAGCACTTCCATCTGCTGATCCATCTAGATATCATAGCGTAGTTTTTTTTATTTGCCACAGGGCTTGGTCCTTCATACTTGCCACACTTTCTGCCCACATGGATCTTTAAATTATAACCAAAAGGTGAGTTCATGTTCAGATTTTAAAGGTTAAGACCAGCCTTATACTTAACAGATAAAAAAGTGCTCATGAGTCTAATACAAAGAACACAGCAAACCAAAAGGGTGAAATGTTAAAGCAAACCATTTGTTGTTGAAACTGATACGTAGCTTAGTTATTGGGCATCCGTCACTTTTCAGCACTGTGACAAGTTAGTTAATCAAAGAAGGATTTGTTTTGTATCCTAATTTCAAAGAAATGGTTGCTTCACTCTTATCTGGGCCTGTGGGTGAAACAGTACATGGTGGCAGAGGGAAGCTGCTCACCTCATGGCAGCTATGAAGGGAGGGGCCGTGTGCATGCTAGGGCAGGGGACAGAACAAGGTTTGAGAGACATGCTCCTAGTGATCCCCTACCTCCTAACATCCCTATCACCTGTGAATTCATCAATGACTAGTACCCTCATGATCTCCCCCCTTTAGCCCACTGTGTGGGACCAAGCATTAGCACCTAAGTGTTTGGGGACACTTCATAGCCAAACCATAGTGATACTTGATCAAATTGTCCAGTGTGCCAGTTAAGATTATTGTTCACGAGCTGGAGAGATGGCTCAGTGGTTAAGATCACTGACTGCCCTTCCAGAGGATCTGGGTTCAATTCCCAGTGCCCACATGGCAGCTCACAGATCTGTAACTTCAGTCCCAGGGGACACGACACCCTCATACAGACATACATGCAGGCAAAACACCAATGCACATGAAATAAAAATAAATTAAAGAAAGATTATTGTTCACTTGTCACCTAAAGGCTTACAGTGGGCACACAGCTATTTGGAATGTTAAACACTAACTTCTTCAAGGATAGATGAGGTTGAAGCTGCCGATATGTGTGGCTGCTGGTGTGAGTGATTCGAGGCATCAAAAGTGATGCCAAGTATTGGGAACCAACTAGACCAGAGAAGTGTTAGTTTTGGTATTTTTAGCCACCTGTATCTTTATTTTCTTTTTAATGACTAATGTACACTTGAAAACTCTCTGTTATTAACCAGCTATATAGACTATAGCTGTAGTAGAATAGGATATTTTGGGAACTAATTTTCGTAGTATTCAAAAAGCAGTATTTGACAAAAATGTAATTGAAGAATCAGAGTTTGCTAATAAATATTTAAGAAAGCAAAGAAGACTTCTGTTGGGTGAATGATTAGAACACAGATTACACCTTTTCCTGCCCGGTGCTCAGCTTAAGACTCTCCTCACATGGTGACAAACCAGTGTCATTTAAAAAAAAAAATGCAGCTCAGAAAGCAGAGTGTGACTCAAAACAGGACCGAGTGATCAGTTTATTGCCACAGTTTGGGTGCTGTTGCTGTTTAATGCTGTCTCCATTTTAGTGGCAATAACTTGGTTATTTAACAACCAGCTTCCCATCTATCCTCCTTTACAGCCATGGGATGAATTATGTAAAGTGTGGGCTTTACTTTTCTTACTATTACTGCTAATGAGGAGTTGTGCAGAAATTATAGGTTATAGCTAGGTTCATTACAAACTATGATTATAACTGGTTGGTTTCAGCCATGGTTGCAGTTTGTGGAAAGATGAAGGCTGCCTCTCTGAAAATTGTTATCTAAACAAAGTATGTGATGCATAGCTTTGTTCTAGCTTGAATCCATCCCAACTGTTCCCCATGCAGATAGGACGTTTACCTGTGGTTTCCAGACGGCTGGCTTCTGTGGATTCAGTCACACTTTCAGTGGCTAGTGCAAATTCTGAGATGTGCAAAGTGAGCTATAACCATACAGTGGCTGGATTAGTGGTGTGTGTGTGTGTGTGTGTGTGTGTGCCAAGCATGTTTGTGAATATGGGTGTATTTGCCCAAGTCTGCACATACAGAAGCCAGAAGTTGGTGGTCTTTTATTGCACTCTACCTTATTTATTTATTTACTTAGAGACATAGTTTCTTACTGAACCTAGAGCTCACCCTTTGAGCTAGACATGTGCTACCATATTGTTTTATAAGGATTTTTTTTTTTTCTGAGAAGATACAACACATAGGTATTTAGTCACTGCAGAGTAGACAGTAGTGTCTAACTTGGTGATTCAGTGGAGGTTTGTGAAGGTCACTATAGGAGGTTACTTACAAGGGGCAGAGACAACTTGAAATCAAGACTTGAGAAGCTGCAGCCCTAGAGCCCTCCACACAGCATGTAGGCAACTCCACAGGCCCAAGCAACTCCCCTCTGCAGCTGCTGTTTAGTCTTTTCACTGGCAGTTCCTGCTTTCTGTGATGCCAGGCCTTCTAGAATTTTCCATTTTTTACTTTCCCAGATGTGTGACATTTTCTTTATCTCCTGGATCTTGTGAAACTCTCCTTCCCTCCTAGAGGGAACATGTCAATTCAGAGGACACCACTATGCAGTGTCCTTCCCAAGTCCTGCTTTTTTTTATGTGGGCACTCAGGTCCTCGTGGTTGTGCAGCAAATACCTTACCTGCCGGACCATCTTCCCAGCCTCTGAATTAATTTGTTTTTGTTGTTTTGAGAGAGGGTCTCACTTTGTAACCAGGAACTCACTGTGTAGTCCAGGCTAACCTTGAATTCTTGGCAGTCCTCCTGCCTCAGTTTCCCAAGCGCTGGAATTACAGGTGTGAGCTGGAATTAGTTTTATTTTTTAAAAATATAGCTCAATAGATTATAGGAAAGTTTCTTTCATTCCTCCTTTTATTGGTTTTCTTGGTGTCACTCTGCCTGTTTGAGCGCCCCCCCCCCTTCTCTACTACCAAGCCTACTGGCCCTCCCACCCAGGAAAGTGAGGCTGTCTTTCTCATGGTGGATGACCATTCAGGTGACCTTTCCTCTTTCACACAGTGATCTGGAGCCTGAGTGGCTGGACAGCGTGCAGAGGAATGGAGAGCTGTTTTACCTGGAACTGAGTGAGGATGAGGAGGAAACTCTCCTTCCAGAGACACAGACTGTGAACCATGTCAGGTTCAGTGAGAAGGAGGTCATCATTGAAGACGATGACACCAGAGAGAGAAAGAAGTATGAACCCAAGCTCAAGCGCTTCACCAAAATCCTGAAAAGCAAAAAACTTTTACCTAAGCGCTACCACAAAAAGAATAGCAGTGACAATGGGCCTGTGTCCATTTTGAAGCATCAATCCAACCAGAAGACTGGAGTTACTGTACAACAGCGGTACAAGGATGTGACTGTCTATATTAACCCCAAAAAGCTAACGGTCATCAAAGCCAGGGAGCAGCTCAAACTCTTGGAAGTGCTGGTGGGAATTGTCCATCAGACCAAGTGGAGCTGGAGAAAGAGCGGGAAGCAGGCCGATGGGGAGAGGCTCGTGGTGCACGGCCTGTCACCAGGAGGCTCTGCCATGAAGAGTGGTCAGGTCCTGGTTGGTAAGTGCTGCAGCAGCTCTAGGCTTTGTTTGTAGAGATACATGGTTAAGGGTAGTGCCCTGTGGGCCATGGCGTAGAAGACAGAATTTATAGTCTCTAAGTAAAGTTGGTACAGACACTCATAAAAGAAGTGTTTCCATGTAACAGAAATATGCACAGCTAGATCAGACTGGAGAGCATAGCTCATTTTAAAGTTTTGAATAATATAATTTTATTTTATCTTGCTAATGGTTGTTGACAAGGAGAAAAAAGTAAGTTGATTATACAGTGATCATTTAGGCTGGAGCAGCTGTATCCAATAACATGATGCAAAATATATAATTTATGAATAAAAATACTTTCAAATTGTATGTTTGCACTTAAGGACACCAAGTTCTTGGAGTGGCTGTAGACTGTTTGAGTTGACCTTCTTCACGACAGTGGTATTATGCATAAGTTCCTTTATAAGGACACTTCTCTAACATTTCCCAGTTTTGAGAGGAAAACTACAAGTTATTTTGCACATACTAAGATCTGTATTTTTGCATTGCCAATTTTAGGCCATGTGGATATGATGTGTGAGTTAATTGGCAACCTTATTTTATTTTATAATAGACCAATCAAATGTGAAAATCTATCCTTTCTTACAGTTATTTATGTGTGCTTGGGCACATGTACTTAACATATATGGAGGTCGGAGGACAGCTTGTGGGATTGGGTCTCCTGCCATCATATGGGTTCTGGGCTTGGACCTCTTCAGGTTTGTTGGCAAGTGCGTTTACTCGCTGAACATCTCACTAGCTCTGAAAGCGCATTCTAAACAAAACTTCAAATTTGTAACCATCCTAAAATGTGACAGTCTTTTCAGTTGACCCAGCTTAAAACAGGAATTTCAGGAACATCTTAAATGTGTCAGACCTGAAGTGTAAATTTCATTGTTTGCTCACTGAATCAGAACATACCTGACTGTCTATTAAGTGTCAGGCATGCAAAGATTACAGTGATGATCTGATGCTTACTTGTGTAAAGAAGCTCATGTAATAGTGGAAGAGGTACATCAGAAACAGGCAGACAGTGAGTGTCACAGAGTGACATGACAGAGTATCACAAAGTGAATTCTAAGGAGACATGTCTGAAGGATGGCTGTCAGTGCATTGTTTCCAAAATGCATCTCCACGTTATCTTGCAGTAAGATGTGGCAGCAGCTGTGATTCAGTGAGAGACCCTGTCTCAGGGAAAAGAATGATATAGGAAGACACCAACTTCTTGAGTTGCATATACATAAGAACAAACTCCCACACACTCATGCATGTAATATGTACACACACACACACACACACACACACACACACACACACACACACTTCTCATGGAGAAAAGGCCATACAAGAAAAGTAGAGCTCTTCTCTTCTCTGCAGACACACACATGGTGAGTCAGTCACCATGTAGGGTATCAGAGGAATAACAGGTCTCCATTTTATTTGGGAAGATGTTGCACTGATGACAGACCTCAAGGGCTTGACACACACTAGCTGCAGGGCACACTCCTAGACCCTCACTGTGGAATTATAGGCAAGTGCTGTACTGCTGAATCTTGTCTCTGCTGTTGAACCATGCTCCAAACTCCTCACTGCCTCCTCAAGCCAGGGAAGAAAGAGCTCAAGTCAACAAAGGCAGCAGAGAGTGTGCAGTCAAAAGAGCTGAGGACCAGGCTGCAGAGGTCACTGCCCTACAGTGAAGAGGGTGTGTTTCTTAGACCCCCCCCCAAAAGAAGCCCTGAGGACAAATAACCTTTGGCTCTGAAAAACCATCTAGCATGGTCTCAACTTCCAAGTCAACTACACAGAACCTGCTAATCACCATGAATATGGGAAACTTGGGGGTGTCTGAAAGCAGAGGGTCCTTTCTCAGCTCTTAGCTTAGTTTAAGAGTTAAGATACCAAGACCTTTAGACAAAACTGCCATGGAACTGAGCCATTAATTGGCTTCTGGGATTATCTTTGCACAAACTCAAAGACTGAAATTCACTGGCCACAGAGGATGAGTTTTAGAAAGTATGTTTTTAGGGATTTTAGAGAAAAAAAAAAATCTGCATCCCTCCTGTGCCGAACAAGGAGGTCCGAGGAAACAGGGTACCACTGAGGGTTGTTGCCTTGGAGTTAATAAAGCTTTACGACATGGACACATATGGAGGCAGTCTATTTTCCTATTCATGGGGTGTCCAGATGCCTCTTGGTTTCATTCATGTCCCCACAGATGGTTTCTAGAAAAAGGGGTCTCATTTAGGAGAAAGGAGAAAAGGAAAAAACAAGACCCCTACCCCCATCCCTACCTATGTTGGCTAGTTTCATGTGAGCATGACAAAATATAAATCCTTGGAAAGAAGAACTCACAATTTAGGAAGTATCTCTATGAAATTGGCCTATAGGCAAGTCTGTAGGGCCATTGTTTTGATTGATAATTGATGTGGGAGGGCCCAGACCACTTGTGGGCAGTGATCCTGGGTTGTATAAAAAGCAGGTTGAGCAAGCGTGAGGAGCAAGACAGTAAACACCAACTTTGCTTCAGTTTCTGATTCCAGGTTCCTGCCTTGCATTCCTGTACTGACTTCCCTCAATGATGGAGGGTTAGCCTAAGAATTGTAAGATAGAATAAATCCTTTCCTTCCTTAAAAAAAAAAAAAAAAAAGAAGGTAGGTAGGTAGGTAGAACCTTGAATGCTGGGGAAAGGATTGACCTTCCAGTGTTTCCTTGATCTGCACTGGCATTCATTCTAGCTGATATAGCTCCAGGAACTTTTAATGGATGAAAGCCTTGCTGAAGGAAGCCAGCCAACTACTTAGGAAGTGCATGGCAGAATATAACGACACTCAGGCAACAATTGTGCTGTTCCGTCATCATTGCTGTCCTGCCAGACGTGTGGTCTGGATACAAGTGCATGAGGAATAGCTTTCCCCATACTCAAGGGAGAGCTGAGGATGGGAACATTTAATTAGGAATGTTTGTGTTCATATATATGGATTCGAAGAGCTTCAGAAAGAGCAGCCCATGCAGAGACTGTGTGTGAACATCAGGGGCTGCACTCTTGAATAAAATAAGCTGCTATTCATCACAATTCAAGACCCTCAGATATGCTTGTGATTAGGAAAGATCAGGAACAACTGCCAAGCTTTTGTCCTTGCCAGATATTCTTTTCAGATTGGGGGCATTTTATTTTTAAATCTTTCCTTAGTTTTTCATCTATTGTTTTAAAGCGTCAATAGTGTTTTATATAATGTATTGGGTTGTTTTTATATGTTTTTTAATAGTTATATTCCCCTGACACACACCTTCCAATTATTTCTGAGGTATAAATTATATAATGCCTCTTAGAAAGTCTGGTTTCATTTTATTTATTTTTTAGATTAGACTCCAAGGGGACGCACTGTTACTAAGATAGCTTTGCATGCAAACATTGGGCATGCACATAAGCACATTGAACCTTCCTCACGTATGTACCTAGGGCTGGCCTTGAACTTCTAATTCTCCTGCTTCTGTATCCCAAAAACTAGGACTACAGTTATGTACCATAAAACCTAGCTCAAATTTTCCTTAGCAAATAAAAATGTATCTTTTTCTTATGTTTGCATTTGATGGCATGAAGTTTCCCAGTGTTTCAGATGACTACAGTTAGAACACTGTGCACAGTTACAGACTATGGCTGTATGCGTATACACATCTTGCTTTCTGGCCTCTCTTTGTGAGTGTGGCTTGTCATTGGTGAGATGGGCCAGTCAAGTTCCTCTTGTGTCCTTTCACAACAGCAGAGCCCATCCCACATTTATTTTCTCTGCTTAGATCTCAAGAGACTTTCTGTCTTTTGGGGGTGGTGCCACTTTTTGCTGATTACCTATATTTCTGTTTCTAAGTGTCTCCTTAAAATTTGGCAATCATCTGAAAGCAGTAGCCAGCTGCCGTCTTCAGACCAGAACAAAGAGAATGTATTCTCTTACCTACACCATGGAAGTTGCCTTGGTTGGGCTTTTTTCTTCAATTTTTGGTTATAACTGGACCCCCCCCCCCAGGGACTAAAACATGAGTCTTTTGGCCATGGCTTCTTGGAGGGGATGTAATAGGAGGAGTAGTTGGCACTGGTGCCAGGCCAGCTGTGCTTTATGGGTATGTGGGTGATAGAGAACCCATCTTTAGCTTGATTTCTACCTGGGTGAAAGTCTTGCCATCATACATGTCCACCATCTTGCCTACCATTTCGGACAGGATGATCATGTTTCTCAGGTGGATCATCACCACCTGGGGCTTCTCCATGAGTGGCACCTCCTTTGTGTCATCTCTCAGGTGCTTGAGTAGTTAGTACTGCTCCCGTGCTACCACAGATGGGAGCTGTACAGCTGCATCAGCTGCTCATAGGACATATCCAGCAGCTGGTTCAGGTCCATACCATGGTAGGGGGTCCTGCAGACAGTCTGTTTCTTCTGCTCCACTTCTGCCATTTTGCTGTTTTCTGGGAGCTGGGGGAAGGTGCATAACTGGATTTTTTTTTTTTTTTGGATAAGAAGGAAGAGAAGGAAATCATTCATTATCTAAGTATCTATATATAACACCTATTCATTGTTTTTTGAGATAAGACTTTACTATAGTTCACAGGTTGGTCTCAAGCTCTTTATTCTCCTGCCGCAGTCTTCCAAGTGTTGACATTACAAATATACACCGTCAAGCTCATTTCATACATTAATTTTCCAGATTACCACCCTCCTCCATAAAGACTATTTCTGATAAAGAATGAAGTTTTAATTCTAAGCTACTTTATATAGTTTCTTAAGTCCTCAACGATGAATTTGTATGGCTTACCTTTTTCTTTAAGTTTTTTGAACATGGATGCTCATTTTTCAAAAATGTTGAGGTATGATATCCATTTATAAGTGTGCATTGATCATTTTGATGTGTGTGTTGTCCTGTTGAACTGACTCTTTGGATCAAAAGTCAACATTTTAACTACCTAGATGGCTGTTACGCATGCCTAAGGTCAGTCAGCAACCCTTCATAAGGCAGCCTGGAGCCTTCTGTGAACAGAATTGATTTAGTTCCTTCTTCAACTTTTGTGTGTGTGTGTGTGTGTGTGTGTGTGTGTGTGTATGTGTGTGTGTGTGTGTGTGTGTGTGTGTGTGTATACATGTATTCTCTTGTGTCTCATTACATATATGCTCTGCTGTGTCTTTTCTGTGATTCAAACTTCATCTCTGAGAAGTATTCCTGTTGGGTTGTGGAGTTGGCTCAGTGACTAAAGCCCTTGCTGCTTGAAGTCCTGTGTTCAGATCTGCAGAACCCATGTAAAGGCAGATACAACAGTATGCATGGTGATCTTAGTGCTCCTGTGTAAGGACAGAGGTTGAGACAGGAGTCCCTGAAAGCTCATGGCCAGCTAGTCCGACTTATGCAGCCGTGCTTTGTCTCAAGCAAAGTGGAAGGCTAAGACCGCATCCAGTGTTGCCCTGTGAACTTCATGTGTATACTCTGGCTTACACACAGCCCCCCCCCACTGAAAACACCCTCAAACAAATGGTGTCTTCTTTTTAAGAGAAAGAAAGATAAGTTCCATGTGGCTGCCATGTAGAATTCCTTTGTGTTGTTTATTATGTTTAGTTCTGGTGTTTTCTTGAGATAGGTTCTCACTGTGTAGCCGGAGCTAACCTAGAATTTGCTCTCTAGTACAGGCTGCTCTCAAACCTATGACCTCCTGCCTCAGCCCTCAAGTGCTGCCGTTACAGGCATGTCTACCATGCTTGGCTAATGTTCCATTTTATATTTTTTTTTTCATTCCATTGTTGAACCTTCTTTTCCAACTGAAATATTTGAAATGTTTTTGTAAAAGATGGGTTTGTCTTTTATGAACATCTAATATGTTGTTCTCTATGAATTTTCATTTTTCTTTTGGAATAGATTTTTATTTCCCCATTTGTACTCTTTGTGACTTCCTGGCTTCCTTATGGACAGTGCCTCTGTCCCCACAGTGTTTCCCTTCTCAGGCTTTCCTGCTGGCATAAAGAGGCTAGAATGCAGAGTTTGCTGGAAGGAAAGGATTTTAGTGTCTCCTCCCAGGAAGCCAGGAAACCATTGCTGCAGCTATTTCCTGCTTCAGGAGTGGGAGGAAGGTGTTAAGAGCCACTGCTCAGGAGCAAACTAACAGACTATGTTCTCATCCCCACTCAGACTCTCCCTGCTGTGTTGGTTGCTTCTGTAGGTGCAGACAGCACCAAAGGATTTATTTCTCATTGGTGGAAAAAAAAAAAGGAAAAAATTGTTTATGCTATTCAAATTATAATTTGACATTAGCATCACTCTGCAACAGTGTATAATTTAACTCATTCAATTCAATGGAGAGTGTTTGTCTTTGTCACACAGTACAGTAAGCAGACTTGACCTGTGCTCAAGAGAGAGACATTTTCCCTGACATTCAAGTGATTGGTTCACTGCACAAATACTTTTGAAAAGATGACAGAATACAGACCCAGTTACTTGGTTTGAAAAACCTGCAGAACCTGTTGGGTTTTTTGTTTGTTTGCTTGCTTTTTACCCACTTGCATGCTTACTACTCTTCCTCAAAGAGTATTAAGCCTTAGTTATCACCCAGCCTATATCTGTCTTTTAGGCTCATACAATGTTCCCATATACAGCTAAAGCTTAGGCAGTGTATTCTTAGCAAAGCACAAGTTTTCACCAACCCCCAAGTCCAGACTCTCTCCTGAAAGCATCTGATACTTATGAAGCTCCTCCCCCTAACCCTAGTGTGCTAACCCACCCACCTGGGACCCTCACCAGTAAATGTGGTAACTTCTGGTTTACAACTAACTTTTATTCTGGCTCATGTAGCCACTTCCACAGCAGAGCATGTTTGGAGCACCCCGAATCTGTGTTTCTGGGACATGATCACTCATTTAACCAAAGAATAAATTGATTCTTACTCTCTTTGAGCAAGAGCTGTGTTGTGTATCAGTAATTTCACATTTTAATAGAGGTTTTGAGTTTAAAATGAGATAAATACAAGTATTTGAGGAACAGTCATAGGAAAGAAGATTTTAACTCAACTGTGCTTGACATGTCAATGTTGTGGAAGCTGTAATAGAAAGGCTTATTGCGTAGACACCAGTCGGTGGTGGCAGCAAATAGCACGATGCATTGGGATGTTCCACATGGATTTAATTAAAATTTAAGCTGGATTTTTTTTTTTAAACTATGGGTCTCAGTGGTTAGATTCAATTTTGTTAAGTGCAATACTGATTTATGTTAAAAATGTTCCAGTTGTCTTTTGGGTTCACATAACTCTTAGTTACACCAAGACTAGGAATATCCATATCCTTAAGTATTTGTGGTTTTCAGAGAGTTTGGTGCAGTGTTGGGAGGCATAATGGATGAGTTGGGTGATTGGCTGTGTCACTAATATTTGGAATAACCTTGAATAAGTCCCTGAATGTACCACATTTTCCATTGTACCCTTGAGGAAGTCTGGATAGCCATTTCTTGTGTCGCAGTTCTAGAACTTTTTGGTTTGGGATATTCACACAGTTATCCTCTGTTTTTCTGTTTTTAGGCGATGTCCTTGTTGCTGTGAATGATGTAGATGTGACTTCTGAAAACATAGAGAGAGTTCTGTCTTGCATCCCTGGACCAATGCAGGTGTGGCCATCCCTTTCCATATCATATACAATGTTGCTTAAAGTGCATCCATTCTGTGCTATGTTAATTTTCAGATCATGAAATGGTTCTCCCCTGTAATGGGTGAGTGATACTGATAGTAATATCTACAAATAAAACATCCTAAGTAAATGTAGCAGCAGCAGTAATGAAAGTAGACATGATTGCCAGCTTATCCTTAGAGTGCCCATGTTGGCCAATGACAGCATAGCTCTGAGAAGAGTCCTTTAAAAGCATCGGCCAGGTGTGGGGGTACACGCCTTTAATCCCAGCACTCGGGAGGCAAAGGCAGGTGTGTCATCATATTGAGTTCCAGAACAGCCATGACTATGTAGAGATACCCTTTTTCAAAATAATAATAATAATAATAATAATAATAATAATCATCATCATCATCATCATCATCATCATCCTTGATTTAAGCTATATCATAAAAATTTTTGTTTCCTTTTTTTTTTTTTTTAAATCTTCCTATGTAGCTGTAGCTGTCCTGGAACTCACAGGAATCTGCCTGCCTCTGCCTCTCAAGTACTGAGATTAAGTATGTGTGCCACAAGCCCAGCTAGAAGTTTTGTTTGTTTGTTTCTTAATATGGCGTTGGTTATTTTAACCCTTAACTATAGTGTTTTCTCTGAGGCTATGTACACTAGGAGTTTATGGAGGCCCGTGGAGAGTACAGAGAGCTCTGTGGCTGTTAGCCTGTGGTGTGCAGTGCTTGTGTTCCCCGCTCTCTGTCACTGTGCACAGTGCCTGAGGAAAGCAACTTTGAAGGTGGAAAGGATTGTTTGGGTTCATGTTTTCAGAGGTTTCAGTCCATGGTCGGTTGGTTGCTATGAGGAAGGCAGAACCTTGTTGTAAGGGGTAAATACTAGAGCAAAGTTGCTTGCTTCCTGACAGTCAGGAAGCAAATAAAGAGACAGGAAGTCTCTAGGTCCAAATGTTCTCACCAAGAGCATTCCTCCAGGGACCTCTCCCTTGCTCTTCAAGACCTGCTCCCTCCCAGGAGTGCCAAATGCTGGCCGTGAAGTCTTTAGCACCTGGGTATCAAGGAGGCATTTAAGACCCAAAAATAACATGTGCTGGATTCACAGGCATGTGCCCATATTACAATAAAAATGCACTTAGTCTATCTCTAAGAATTTCCAAAGCTTTAACCTGTCCTCACAGACTCCTCAAGACAATGTGAAGCCCCCAACAAAATGAGAATAACCTGCTCTTTCACCCGTTATGTCATGAGCATTCTCATTACACAGGAAGAAATAGGGAAAAGAATCAGACCTAAGCAAGACTAAAGTTGAGCTGCCTGGCCTGCCACCTGGGATATGTGTACTCCAGAGGCCTTGGCAGTCCTACCTCTGTGGCCATGCTGGCTGCAGCCCATATGGCAGCTGTCTTGGGCTGGCCTTGTTTGCAGTCTGCAGCTTCCCTTTGCCAATGCTCCATGTTCCTGGCATCTCTGACTTTCTAGGTTTTCCGTTTCAGCTTCAGCTTCACTCTCATGGCTTTATGCATGACTGTCAGGGGCTGCCTACAGAGACTATGAACTTGCTACACACTGTATATCATACACTTTCCTTTGAAATTTTGGTTGAAGCCTCCAGGGATGCACAATTATCACATTCTGCATGCCTGCAAAACTGGCATCACATGGTCGGCCACTTGTCAAAATCACTTGAGCCTTGGCTGCCTGCAGTGGTTCCTCAGTGCCTTACCAGTTGAAGAAAATAAAGATTCCTAGAGAAACTAGTCTAAACATGCCTGTGCAATCTGGGTTTTCAGAGGTGTCCTCTTGAAAAGAGTTATGCAATCCTTTTGTGCAATGTGGATATTTGTCACTGTGATTGGTTTAATAAACAAACTGGCTGGCCAATAGCTGAACAGAATAAGGTTAGGTGGGAGAGCCAAACTGAGAATGATGGGCAGGAAAGGACTGATTGAGAGGAGTTGCCAGCCAGATGCAGAGGGAGCAGGAGATGAGCATGCCATGTTAATAAATTTGTCACCACATGGGTTAATTTAAAATATAAAAGCTACTTAGTAATAAGCCTGGGCTATTGGCTGAAAATTTATAAATAATATTAATCCTCAGTATGTTTCTTTTCGAGTGGCTTCAGGACAGAAAATCTCTGCCTACAGAGTTATGATATTACACTTTTGAGCTAGGGGGTAGGATGTGGGAGTGGGAGGGAGTCCTGGTCAATGCCTGAGTGCTTTCAGAATATCTTTCCCACTGTCCCAATGCAAAGTACTTGGCCTCTCTTTAACAGTGCTCATCTCTATATATCTACTAGCAGCAACTGTAAACATACTCCCTTTCTGTCTAAAGTACATAAAGAAAGGGAATCTAGAGTACCCAGGGGGCTGAGGCAAGAGGATTGTGACTAAATGATGAGATCCTGTTTAGTGATTTCCCCCAAAGTTGCAGAATTACTTACTCAAAGTACCAGACTTCAAACTAACGCAGAACATATCCCTTCCATTTCCTTTCAACCTGTGTGCATCTGGTGCCTTGGTGGGTCAGACTGGACTGTGATTGACCGGTCCAAGGTATGGAATGTGTGAAACAGTTCCTCCAGTAACAAGAGAGGAAGAGAGGGGCCAGGTTTATAAGGAACGTCACTGGAGACTTTAGTCCTAGCCATACTGAGCAGTGACATCTTAAACATGCACTCACAATATATCAAGGTCTGCAGCTTCTCGTTCTCCATCAGACAGTGACCTCTGAGACAGCATAATAGAAAGAAAGGCACTAGGAGAACAGATCTGACCTTCATGTAACACCTCATAGAGATTCCAGACTACTTTCCTCAACTGTAATCAGAGAGGATCTAAAAGGAAGTCTTCAAAAATCCAGTTCCAATTCTACTGGTGGAATGCAGAGGCAAAGCCCATTTAACATTTCAAAACTACTTTTGTGTTTTTGCTTTTGTTGTTGTTGTTGTTTTCCTAGACGCTTCAAAAGTGTTAATAACATGAGGGTATTGGATTGTAGAATAATGGTAGAGTGTGTAGTTAGCATGTGCAGGGCCGTAACTTACAAAGCCCAGCACACACACTCAAAATCATCATGAAAAAAGAGGCTTGAGAACTCCTACACATTAAGACAGACTGAACAGTGTGTGGCTGTGTCTTAGTTAGGGTTTCTATTGCTGTGAAAAGATACCATGACCACAGCAATTCTTATAAAGGAAAACATTTAATGGGGTAGCTGCTTACAATTTCAGAGATTTGGGACATTTATCCTCATGGTGGACCATAGCAACATACAGGTAGACATGATACTGGAGATGAGAGTCCCACATCTTGATCAGCAGCCAAGAGGAAGTGAACTGAGACACTGGGTGTCTTGAACATAAATGAGACCTCAAGCCTGCTTCCACAGTGATACATTTCCTTCAGTAAGGCCACAACTACTACAACAAAGCCACACTTCCTAACAGAGCCACTCACTATGAGCTTACGGGCGTCATTTACACTCACATTACCACAGACTATCAGATGCAAAAGGCAGTCCTTGACTGCTTCTGGGTTGCAGAAGGAACAGCTAGCTGTATTGGATGGCAGGAGAAATTGGCTTGGAATTTATTACTCAGTATAGGCTGAGTATCCCTTACCCAACATGCTTGCAACCAGAAGTGAGTGGGTGAGTACTGGGCAGGAAAGAAAGGGAAGAAGGGAGAAGAAAGGGAACAAGGAGAGAGAGAGAGAGAGAGAGAGAGAGAGAGAGAGAGAGAGAGAGATTGTTTCAACTTGGGACTATTGTGTGGTTGAAATTCCTATTCAGAACAACCTGAAACCCTAGATACTCAAAAGTCTAAAACTTTTAAAGCACCACACTGATGCTCAGAAAGTCTGTGATTTTACAGTATTTTAGATTTAGAGAACTGCCTGAGATTTACTTTTTTGTTTGTTTATATATTATATATTTATTATTTTTTCTTATTTTACATGTTGGTCCCAGTTCCCTCTCCCTCCCATCCCCACTCCACAGGGAGGGTGATGCCTTCCAGGAGTGATCATTAAAATTTGTCAGGTCATTTGGAGTAGGGTGTAGGCCCTCCCTCCTGCCTCTAGACTAAGGGAGTACCCCTCCATGGGGAATGTACTCCCAAAGTCCTTTAGTGAACCAGGGTTCCACTGTCAGAGGTCCCTTAGACTGCCCAGGCCTTCTGAGACCCATGTTCAGGGGTACAATGCTGGTTTCCCAGCTATCAGTCTGGGGATCCCTGAGCTCCCCCCACCCCCATTCAGATCAGCTGTCTCTGTAGGTTTCTGTAGCCTGGTCTTGACCCCTTTTCTTATTGCTCCTCTCTCTCTCTGCAGCTGGATTCCAGGAGTTCGGCTCAGTGTTCAGCTGTGGGTATCTGCCTCTGTTTCCATGTTCAGGGGGTCTGAGTCAGTCCCATGCTGGAGTCCCAGCTATCAGTCTGGGGCCTATTAGCTCCTTCTTGTTCAGGTCAGCTGTCTCTGTGGGTTTCTGTAGCCTGGTCTTGTCCTCCCTCTCTGCATCTGGATTCCAGTTCAGCTTAGTGGGTGTCTGCTTCTGTTTCCATCAGCTACTAGATGAGGGCTCTATGATGGTGGATAAGTTAGTTATCAATTTCATTATTAAGGAAAGGCATTTATGGTAGCCCTTCTGCTGTTGCTAAAATTGTTAGTTGGGGTCAGTCTTGTAGGTCTCTGGACATTTCTCTAGAGTCAGTTTTCTCTTCAAATGTTCAAATGGCTCCCTCTATTATGGTATCTCTCTCTCTCTCTCTCTCTCTCTTTTTTTTTTTTTTTTTTTTTTTTTTTTTTGCTTTCCTCTATTCCTCCCCCAACTCAGTCTTTCTGATCCCATATGTTCTCCTCTCCTCCCCTTCTCTTTCTCCTAACTCTCTCTCCACTCACTGGTCTCCCCCCCTCCCCCGACTCCCAATATGCTCAGGAGATCTTGTTCCTTTCCCCTTCTGTGAGGGACCTTGTATGAATCTCTTAGGTTC